AAAGGCCTGGTGATCTACTTCTGAAAAATCTGCCATTGAAAACCCCGTGGAGCCCAGTTGTACTCTGACACATATGGGGTTGCCATGAAATGGAGTCAAATTGACAGCAACTGAGACTCACTCTTCAGGTCCCAGTTAAAACATACTTCATTCCTAATCTCCTGTCACATGATTTTGTTAATTATGTGTTAACTATCTAACTCTTTCATGTAGACTGTGAACTCAGTGAGGACAGGGATTATGGGTATTCTGTCCATCATTGTATCCTCAGCTCCTAAAGCAACATACTGCCTGCCTTATACATTGTAGCTTCAGTTAACAGGTGTCTGTTAGCTGTCACCATGATAATTCTGAGTAACAAACAACCCCACTGTTTCAGTGGCATAGCAACTCAGCATTTATTTCTCAGATATCTGTAGGGTGACTGGGGCCAGGGTTGGTTCTGGGTCTGCTCCATGTGGCTCTTGCCCTCCTTCAATCAGCAAGCTAACCAAAGTGTGTTCTGCTCATGGCAATGGCAGAGGCACAAGAGAGAAAGTTCAGTTCTACAAGCATTTTTCAGGCCTTTGGTTCCATGTTGTTCTTTAACATACCATTGGCCAAAGCAAGTCAGTGGGTCAAGCCCAAAGTCAAGGAGGAGAGAAGTACACTATGGAGGTTGGGGTAGTGGGAAGAAGAGTAAATATTTCTGAATAAGCTACCAACGTATGTTCCCTGGTTCTCAGTAGATAGTTATGGACTGGGAAAGAAGGGCAAAGAATAACCAGATTGCAGGGATTCCCCGTGGGTATTCCTGTACAAGTTACACAAGTCCATGAGGACTGTCCTTCTTTCTGACACATTAGCATCACAGAGAAAGTTGGAAGCCCTATCTGACATTTAATGGCCCACCTGCCCAGAGTAGAATTTGTTGGGCAAATAAAGCACGTCCTCAGGAGTGCTGTCACCAGACTCTTCCTCCAGAGTGGTTAGCAATGGCAGCTGCCTCTGAAAGGGAGAAGGAGGACAGTGACCATGGCGTCACAAGAGGCATGTCTGAGTGGGTAGAATCCCTGCAACGCCCAAAGAAAGGGGTTTTGTGTGTGTGTTCTTTGGACATGTGTATGTCTACATGTTTTCTAAAGTCAGTAGAACGGGACTTTGAAGAGACCTTTCCAAACAGCTGGCTAGACATCCATTTCTCCTATGGTGGCTTTGCAGCAGCAACTATGGCCCAGTTTGAGATTGCACTGGGTTTTGTGCCTCTCCAATGCTTAGCTGAAAAATAACCAACTGTTTTCTTTCTGTCTCTGCAGGGGTGCTGTGCCTGCCAGACAGTCTGAATCTTCACAGAGACCCGCAGCGTTCAAGCAAGCCAGGGGAACTACCCATGTTCAGCCAGTCGGAGTTGAGGACCATCGAGCAGTCCTTGCTGGCCACCCGCGTAGGCAGCATTGCAGAACTGAGTAAGTACAAACTGTTCTCCAGCCCTTGAGTCTCATGACATGGCCACTCAGTGCCCAAGGTAGATCACACTGTCCTTCAGGCCACAGGGTGGCCTTTTATTGAGCACCTAGGAGCTCTGGTGGCATAGTACCTAAGGCATTTGACTAATAACCAGGAAGATGAAGTTTCAAACCCACCAGCCACTCCTCAGAAGGAAGATTGAGCAATCTACTTCTGTAGAGATA